ATTTAATAATAAAACGATAATAAACCAAAATATAAAATAATAATTTAAATCTTAAAAAGGAATTGCTGTGATCTGAAGGTTTAAAGGAGCTAGAAAGAAGGTTTTTAATATGTTTAGCGAAGTAGGAACCCAAGCTTTCATCTAATCTTTTTGGAGAGTAGTGTAGGATGTCTCGAATGAGCTGCCAAAAAAGAATTCATAGACCGAATGAGATTTCCAGACATGGACAAGCAGATAACAGTCCCATGGAAGGAGTGCAAATGCCTTACAGTTAACCACATTGAAGCAGGGGCTATTAGTCCCTCCCACCTGCAAACCCCGCTCATCCACAATTCCATTACCTCCAAACACCAGGGCAGGCGGCCACAGTCTAGGAAATGCTAGGGGATCGGTCCTAGGTGATGACAGTAGGCGCGGTAGGTAGACACAGGTCAGCACCCGCATCCCAGACCCTCAAACCACCGTGCACAACTGAGGCAGATGCTCAGGGCGGAGCCGTCGGCGGTGGCCACCTCAATGGGTGATTTGCAAGCAAGGGTACGTCGGGATGGTGCCTACCGTAACCTACCACCCCCATCATCACCTGGCCAATCGCCTAGTAACGTCTAGCCCACAGACACCTCCCACTGGCGTGGGGTCCATGAAATTACAGACGGGCTTGGCATGAAGGAGGATGGGATAAATAGTGCCTACCCCAAAATGTGATCAATAGAAAAACATTTACAACCCCATCAATGGTACCGAAAGTGTTGCCTGGACCCGGGGAATCTTATTAGGCCTACAAATCTCCCTCAAAATCTCAGCCGAGCGCTTAGTATTTCTCGAAATTCCAGCCACTCGAAAGAGGCCGGCAAAGCTTTGGGTTCCAAAATTTATGCGTAAATAGGTGTCATCGTTTTCGGTTTCATGCCATTGACGCAAGGATTGATCCCAAGAGCAGAGGGCTCTTCTATTTTTTTTTGAAAATCCGAAACGACTTCCCAGCTCCTTTAAACCCCGTATTTACACAAAAGGTGCTTTCTTAACAAACCTATGCCATAAGCTATCGACTGGTTCGACTAACACCTAAGCCAAGTTTTTAAATAGTTTTGACTTTTAAAACCGTCGTATATACCTAATTCTAAAAAAAAATCAAAAATATAAATGGCAAAAATAAAAGTATAAAGAAAATAGATGCTAAGCTACACCTACGCCCAATTTTTGATGTTTTGATTTTTTTTAAACAGTCCCTATATATGCCCAAAAAAACAACAAACCCTAACAATACCCAAAATATCCTACTACCAGGGTTGAAAAGCCGCTTCGCGACTTTTCAACCCTGGCCCCTTCTGACCCCAGTTTATCCCTCGCTTTGCATACTTGTCCTGAATTCAGATGGCAAAAAATGAAAAACCACTTCATCTGCCGCTTTATATAGTCGACTCCCCACTTCCGGTCTATGCTAATTATTCCTAAAAAAGAAGTTTTCACAAAAACTTAAATTTAATGTCGAAAATCGATTATTTTGTAAAATCTGATAGTTGTGCAGTCATCCCAAGACCATTGCGCACCTAATGACGTATCATACCTACTCTAAAATCCATCCTCTATCGAGATATCCTCCGGACAGACAGACGGAAGTGGATGCAAAGTGGCACACACACACACACAACAACACACAACACTATTTTTTTATATATAGTAGGATATCCTACTATATATAAAAAAATAGTGTTTGTGTGTGTGTGTGTGTGCATTTGCATGCAACTTCCGTCCGTATGTTCCAGTCGTATCTCAATAGCGGAGGAAGTTAAGGGTACGTATGATACGTCATTAGGTGCGTGATGGTCATGACACGACTGCACACATCCGATATTTTTAAAAATCAGCTGTTTTCGATATTAAAATTAAGTTTTTGTGAAAATCTCGCTTGGCCTCTTTGTTAGAAATCAATTAGCATGCACCGGAAGTGGGGGAAGCCTATATAAAGGAGCAGGGAAAGCATTTTTCACTTTTTTTTCCGCGCGTGTCGGCCGAATTATGCAAAGCGTAAACTTTCACCGGTCCAAAATGGGGCCAGGGTTGAAAGTCGCGAAGCGGCTTTTCAACCCTGGTGACTATTAAAAAATCCAAACATAAAGAAAATAGTTACTAATATGGCATCTAGTACTAAACTAAACCTAAGCCCAAATGGATTCTATTTCATTTTGATGAGTTCATTTTTAAAAACGATCCCTACCTATGCCCAACTCTAATAAAAATCAAAAGTATAAACAACAAAAGAAAACGCAAAAGAAAAAAGTGACGAATATAACATCTAATACTAAGCTAGGCCTACGCCTAATTAGGCTCTATTTATTTTTAAAAACTATCCCTCGATATGCCCAACTCTAACAAAAATCACAAATATGAATAGCAAAAAAATCAAAACAAAGAAAATTAGATGACACCAGCGCCCAAAACCCGCTTCGCGGACCTTCGGCGCTGGAATTGGGCCCTTGCATGAAAAATTTGACTTTCCGATAGCTTGGGTCCTTCGGACCCCTTCCCCCACCGACCATACACGCGTGGGCAAATTGCAAGAATGAGGAGATTTGTATTTTTTCATATTATGCAAATTAACCCCAAAAAATGAATAAAACCGGCTTGAACTTTCTAAACTTGTATTTTATCGAAATTCTGAAAACGGCATCGGAAAGAGGAGGGTCGATTCCCCCTAGTGAAGAAGAATTAGCACATTTTATCCAGGCGAAGGCCCTTAAATCGGGCCCCCAAAGTGACATCCATACACACAGAGATACACCCCAAAATTATATAAGGTAGGATATGACTAATATCAAAAAGCTTGAACCAAATTAATATGACAGATAATACTCAGCTAAACCTACGCCTAATTAGCTTCTATTTTCTTTTGATGAGTTGATCTTGCAGAACTATCCCTATATATGCCCAACTCTAACCAAAAATCATAAACATAAATAGCAACAAAAAAAAAGAAAATAGTGACTAAGATAACATAAATACTAAGCTAGACCTACGTCTAATTAGGCTCTATGTTATTTTTAAAAACTATCCCTAGATATGCCCAACCCTAACAAAAATCAAAAGTATATATAAACAGTAAAAAAACGAAATTTAAAACAATCGGACTAATAGACTAACTACGATGAATTAGACACTCTTTTATTTTGAGGTTTGCGTTCGGCTTCGCATGCGGATAGACGCGCAGCCCCACTAAGTCCCGCTAGGTTTTAAACTAAGGATTACTAGCCTAACCCTCAAGCGGCAGCCCAACCCAAAAGTAAAAAAAGAAACAAGGACCGTAGATTCGATTCCTCCTTGTGCGCGTATGACGTGCAGATCGTCTGTCGGTCTCTTCATTGTTGACGTCGAACCTAAGTCACATTTTTCAAGAAAACAGAATAGCACTTACCTCATTGCATGTAGAATACATTGAAATCGCGCGGTAGGGCAGCGGCGATGGCAGTTCGAGGGCTTGAACTACCTGAAATTCAAGAAATATAAAAGATTGTAGAAAATCGTGAAAACAATGAAAACAAGGAATCATTGGAAAAGGAATGCACCTAAGCCTAAGCACAGAACCAGTCAGCAATGAAGAAGCAAAAGCAGAGAGGGGGATTGGGAGGGGCGGGTTATATAGGCGCACGGGGAGGCCCATATGCTGGCTTGTGGGCGGGGCATCTGCTAGTCGGGGCTCTCTACGATCTGTCTGCCCTCCCATCTTCGGTTTCCCAAAAGTTCTTTGCTAGAATACCCGATATATCTGCCGAAATTGAGCTTTTTCTGTAAAGCTACTATGATACCTCAAATCCCCGACCCAACCATGTCAACCAAAACAATCGTTCTATAGATTGGATGTGATGCATCAAATCCCGAGATTTCGGGGGCACCACCCAAAAATTTTTGGCGACCCCCCGTCGCCAGCGCCCAGAGGAGAGGCGCAGAGACATTTTCTTTCTCGCGCGTAATCGATTGACTTATGCCGCCCCTATCCCTTTAAAAACATTCGAAAATAGCGACAATAACCGCGCCGCAGGCGAAAAATATTTAGAAACCGCGTTGGAAACGCTTAAATTCGTGTGAAAACACATCGGAAACGGCGCGCGCAAGCGAAATTTTGCAGCAAAAATGGTGCGTGCCCCCGGTGCCCCCCCTCGTACGGGCCTGTTTGTGGCTTAGATGGTTGGGAAAAGGTTTTGCCTACAAATTTTCTTTCTTTTTCATTATTGTTTAAACCTTTCAAAACATATTTCTTCCTTTTCAGGTCCATTTTATGTGGGAAGAAGTGTGGCTGGCCGTCGGGATTGTCCTCGCCGCCACCGCAGCCGTCCTCGGCTTCCGGAAATTGCTTGAGAAGCGCGCCGGGAAATCGTTCAACAATGAAACGATTATTGCCAAGAGTAAGTTTGTTTTCTTTATATTTATAGACCTTTTTCAGGCGGCCACATGTGGGAGCAGGTCCAGGAATTCGACGGCAGCCCTTTCTGCTCGACATGCGAGCGGCGGCTGGCTCGAGGGTATCGCTGCGAGTATTGTAACATGATGGTGGATGAGGTAATAAAATCAACGATTATTTTACGTGTTTTTTAGGTAAAATGCGCACGCTCGATCTCGGCCGTCAAGTGCTGTAAGGCGAATGCTGAAGTGACTTCGGACGACTTGATAAAACATCACTGGGTTGGTTTTTCGTGAAGATTATCAAGATTTTCATAGATTTACAAAAAATTGTTGAGTTTTAGGTTCACGGCAACCTGCTTGGCGACGCTTTTTGCAGCGTTTGCGGAGATGAATGTGGTCAGGATATCGGGCTCAGCGATTATCGGTTCGTGCGATTCACTTAAAGGCAGCTTTTTTCAATGTAATATAGCTTATTCAATAGAGCTTATTCTAAATACCATCAGCTTTGAAAAACGGATCTACGCTACTAAAAGAGTAGGAAAAACCTTTTGTTAGATGAAATTTGATTAAGCGCGGAGAAAAACGGGCAAAATTGGCTTTTTCAGATGAAATTTTCGCGGCGATCTTTATAATCCAGCGGTTTTCGAAAAAAGTGATTGGTTCAGAATTAGAAGCTTTATCAAAAACTCTTTCTCCTCGAAAAACGACCCCTTTTACGGCACGTAATTCTGCAAATAGCTCCGCCTAATTTTGTATGTACACAGCTAAACGCGCTCCTCCCTCGAAATCCCCCAGCACCGCGGTTATTTTGATGCCAACTGATTTTTGAGGGCAGCCCGCGCGTAGGCTTGCATTTTTGAGCGCCGCCCCGATTACCCGGAGCAACGGAACACACAACCCGGGGCCGGCTTGAACCCCCCGTTTTTCGCGCGCTCGCCGTGTTAATTGGCGATAGCCATGATCTTTTGCTCCATTGGCTCGCCGTTTCGTTTGTCGGGGCAGTGTGGTACATTCCTCCGCTTTTTGAGTATTTGTTCGGGTTTAAAAGTTGTAAAAACCTTTGGTTCCAGGTGCTCCTGGTGCGCGAGAAACGCGCATTCATCTTGCCGGGCCGAGCTTGAGGAGGTGTGCGATTTTGGGGAGCTGAAGCAGTCGGTCGTCCCGCCCAACAAGGTCACGCTTCGGAAGGCCGGGAGCCGGGGGGTGAAACAGGTAAAATAATTTTTTTAGATAATTTGGAATTTTCCTAATCCGAAATTCGAAAAACCTTATCTCCTCTATAAGTCAAGTTATGCCTAGTTAGCTGATAAAAAGGGCTTTTATAGTGTTTTCGATAAATTTAGCTTTATTGTGCGTGAAAAGCATGTTTAAAATTGAAAGATGTTTGAAAATCCGGAATTTAGGTCGAAAATTGCCAATTTTGAAAAAAGTCGCGACTTTCGTACCTCTTAAATAAAAATTTGCAATGTTTTACGTTTAGGTACCTTGAACCCTTGCAAATTTTTGTAAAAATCAAAAAATATATTTTTAGTGATTAGAAATAGGCGATTTTCGACTGAATTATGCCCGTTACATTCTCCGGAAGAAACCCAAAAACTCGGAAACGAAAGGAAAAGTGGCAAAAATAATGAAAAAATTGGGCACTCTATCTGGCGTCAATTTTTACGGCAATTTTAAATTTGAGACTCCCACGCATTATTTTTCAGACCAAAAATCGGGGCCCTTATCATTTTTATCAATCCCCCGAGGGCACGTGATTCAAAAAAATGACACAACACTAAAGTCGTTGATCAGATCTCGGGTGCGTCAGTCCATTAGCAATTCCCTGCGGGGCGGTTCGAACCGTCTTCCCGGCCTCCGCCCACGAATATAAAGCTGGCGGAGAATCGAGGGCGATATTGCTCTCCCACACGACCGTTTTCCACCCTTGCTAATGGATTCCTATTCCAAGATGGTCATCGACGGCATCATTCGCCCTGATGCGCCCCCGGATTGGCGCCCCGTTTTCATCCTCGTCAACCCGAAAAGCGGTAGCGGCGCCGGGATCAAGGTGGCGTCGGCGTTCCGGTTGTTCCTGCACCCAATACAGGTTGGTTTTTATAACGGAATTTTTTTGCTATATAAATAAACTATTTTACGCTCTATCTTTAGGTAATCGACGTCACCAAATCTCACATGAAAGCCGTGCTCCGGTGGCTTGACGAACGGCCAGACATCGAGGCGCGGATATTGATCGCTGGTGGTGATGGGACGATCAGCTTTGTGCTGAGTAAGTTGTCCTTAATTTTTCCTGTTGTATTGATTATTTTTTATTCATATTTATTTATATTGCGATTTCTGTTTCAGACGACATTGACGAGCTCGAAAATCGACCACCAGTCGCCGTGCTTCCCCTCGGCACCGGAAACGACTTGAGCCGAGTGCTGGGGTGGGGCAAGCAGTCTGATGGCTGTATTTGTCCTCAACAGGTAAGGATTTTGTTTCTAGCAATTAAAACATGTTTAAATTCTAAATTTTTACGCCAGTTTTCTGAAACATTTGATTTTTCAGATCCTCCAAGACGTCCAAGAAGCAAAACCCTTCTCCCTGGACCGGTGGAGCGTCTCGATTGAACACCCAAGGAAGCTGGGAGTCAGGAGATCAAATAAGTGGGTTTTTAATCGCGCTAATATAATTTTAAATTAATTTTAGAAAATTAAGAGATGATTTATTAATGACTAAAATTTTAAAAAAGTAAAATCGTAAATAGCCAAGATTTCAAAATCTTTCGTTGCATTTTCTTTTTTTTATTTATTTCAAAGTTCAAGTTGAGAAGAAGCTTAGGATTGAAAAGAAGGTAAAATAACTTAAAAATGTCTTATAAAGCTATCTTTTTCAGAAGCATGATGATGACAAACTACATCTCGATCGGCGTTGACGCTTGTGTCACCTACGGAATGCAAAGTACGAGAGATCAACTGCCCAGGGCGATATCGTCAAGGTATCTGACCTCAAAAATACTTTTTCAATCGGAAATTCATTTTCAGACTCCTCAACAAATTCCTCTTCTTCACGTTCGGTACAAAAGACGTTTTCGAGCGCGCTTGCTCGGGCTTGGAATCTAAAATTGAGCTGACCGTCGATGGGAAAGTCGTGGAACTGCCCGAGATCGAGGGCCTCATCTTTTTGAATATACCGTGCTGGGGCGCTGGTGTGGAGGTTTGTAGCTTACTAGAAATTGTTATAAAACTTTATAAAATCTTTTTAAACGACGATAAATTTCGTATTTTTTAGCCATGGAGCATGGAGCCCAACGAAGAGATGCCCCAATCCTGCTCCGACGGCCGATTCGAGATTTTTGCAGTTCGCTCGTCGTTCCACATTGCTCAATTGCAGGTAAAATATCTTGACAGAAATTTAAGGTGTTTTCGCAATTCGCGAGTATTTTAATAGTGTGTTTGATAAAATTTGGCTATACGTAAAGCTAAAAATAATCTAGAAACACAAAAATACACGTTTTGGAATTTTTGTCGCATGTTGTTTTTGCGGAAAATTTATATTTTTGTGTTTATTAATAACTTGGAAAACAAAAAAGTTTAAATTTTTAACTTTAGGTAAAAGATGGAAATTGTGATCGGAAAATCGATAATGTTGCTTGTTTTAGCAAAGATTTGGAACGCTTAGAAGTTTGGAAAAAGAAATAACAAGGTTGAAGGGCTTAGCGATTTATATTAGAAAAATTTGGCTAAAAACTACCCCCCCCCCGCCCCCGAAATCGCAAAAGATCCCAATTTAAACTATTTTTTTTCAGGTCGGCCTCTCCGCGCCACTCCGAATCTGCCAAGGGCGCGAGGTGAGCCTGCGAGTCTTCCGGGGCCCGCTTCCGATGCAGTGCGACGGCGAGGCTTGGCTCCAGCAACCCGCCACCGTCTCCATAAAACACAAGGGCACGTCGATGATGCTCCAGAAAAAGCCGGCCGCACAGTCGCCAAAAACTAACGGCTTCTTCTTATAACGTTCGTAGAATTGGTGCCTTTTATTTGTGCTATATTTCGTGCTGTTCCAGAAATCTCCTTTTTTCATATAGATTTTCGATCCCAGATCGTACCTTAATTTTCTGATACCTATTCTGTTTTCAAGCCTTATCTGATCAAATATCGTTAAAAAGTCTTGGTCTCATTTTCCAAAACCTAAAGCTTTACACAGCTCTTCCACCCACTAACGTACTTACGGGTAGCAGTCGGTTGTTTTATCGAATTTCGCGTGTCTATCGGCCTTATAATTGTACTGGATATAATTTGAAGCCGCTTCCACGCAAATTCTCTTGTTGTGATTCTCATCTTGTGATCCCAGGGTCCCCCGAGTAGTCTTTTAACTGAATTTTAACTCCGCGTGCGTTCGGATTTTTAGTCGTTCTCTTAATCGTTTGAGGATAAACGTTTGAGCTTGAACTGTAGAAATTGCGAGCTGGATCCTCTGGATTTCAAGACAAACTGCAAACTACAATTCTGCCTGAGAAAGCCGACGACGACGAAAGCTAAAACGTGGAAAACCACAAAATCTAGACTTTTTGATGGGGCCTGCTGTCACGGCATCTCAGGGCCGCAATTACGACATGTAATTCCGGGGCTTTTTTTCGGGCAAAAATATTAAGGGGAAAATCTTTGATGGCTTATAACTTTTTACCTAGATCGTAATTTGAAAAAGTCGATTTCCAGATTTGTAGAGCAAAATGCGCTCTTTCGAATGTGACCAAATAGAAATAAAACTGAATCCAAAACTGAATTGGACCAAAACCATTGCTTGAGTTGCCGTGGCTGTACGAAAAAAATTGGAACGCGAAAATGCCGACCGACCAAATGCGAAAAGAGCAAGATCCCGACAGGATGAAATCGCTACTTCCGCTTACTAGTAGATCGCGTTCTGTCGAGCTTCCGGATTGTCAGAATTTTGGTCTATCGGTATTTCGGCGTATCGGCATTTCTGTCGGGATTCTGGCCGGCAATCGGAAAACTTCTGTTCGAGGGTAATACGGAAACTGAAGAAGCGGCAAGAGGAATACAGACAGGAAACAATTTCAGATTTAAAGGGCTAGTTCAGCCAATAAAACAAAAGAATTTCCGCGGCCAGGAGTCGAACCCTCTCTGCGTTTTTGTGGCTGCCAGTCATTACTTCGAAAATCATTACTTCGAAAATCATTACTTCGAAAGTCATTACTTCGAAAAGTCATTACTTCGAAAGTCATTACTTCGAAAATTCATTACTTCGAAAAGTCATTTCTTCGAAAAGCCATTACTTCGAAAAGTCATTACTTCGAAAAGTCATTTCTTCGAAAAGTCATTACTTCGAAACGTCATTACTTCGAAAAACATGCATAGCACGTACGCTAATTGACACCTTTCTGCCTCTATTGGTCCGTTTATTCGATCGAGTTTTTTATACGTCGCATGAACTTTACCCCCTGATTTTTCGATGTTTTAGTTGGTTAGTACGAACATTTTCTGATGTCACTTCAGAGAGCATCAAAACATACACGGACATTTTTAGGTAAGCATCGTGATGCTTCGGTGATTGACTGCAAGGATCATTATAACAAAATAATAATTCGTAGGGATGGGGTAACTAACAATCCTAATACAGACCGAAACTCTACACAGTAATAGCCTTAATAGAATAGGCATATGGTACCTACGCAATGGTTTTATCGTCAGTGTCATGAATTTCGTGATATGAACATTCCAAATTAGCATATTTTTCGAAGTAATGACGTTTCGAAGTAATGACGTTTCGAAGTAATGACGTTTCGAAGTAATGACTTTTCAAAGAAATGACTTTTCGAGGAAATGACTTTTCGAAGAAATGACTTTTCGAAGTAATGACTTTCGAAGAAATGACTTTTCGAAGTAATGACTTTTCGAAGTAATGACTTTCGAAGTAATGACTTTCGAAGTAATGATTTTCGAAGTAATGACGTTCACCCCGTTTTTGTGTCTGCACCTCTCTCATTTTCCCGATCTCTAATAGCTGTCGTAATTGGGGACTGTTCGGGCGCACTGTGCCTACGTCCATAGTTTCCCAAGGTACCAGCCCAAGCTCTAAAAGTTGAACTAGCCCTTTAAAGGGATAGTGCCAGGAAGTCGACTTCTGACAAGGGAACCACCTAAGGTCAAGGTGGCATTTCGTTATGGGACCCAGCCTATTTTGTGTAGAATTTTTTGCTGATCCCGAACCCGCTTTCAATTTTTGCTAAATAGCCCAATTTAAAAAGTTATAGAGATTTTAAGGTCATATCTGTGCCCGCGGGAAGTCATCTGTCACGATGCCCAACTTTTTTATTTTAATAGGGCAGTCGGTTTTTAATAGCCTATCTTGTAGAGAATTTTTTTCTGATTCGATTGGTATATTTCATTAGTGCGCTACGATCTATCGACGATCACTTACGGGGGTGTGAAATAGGCAATTTTTCACCATTTCCCATACAAAAAATGGAGTTCCAGAAAAAAATGGAAAAAAATGGATTCCAAGTATCGTCGATTTTTTCAATTTTCAACAATTTTGAGTTAAATAGTTCATTCGATCAAGAAAATTTTTCTGAATACGATGGCGATATTCGTTTTTGAGGAATCAGACGGGAAAGGCAAGATAAATGACTTTGAAGTTCGAAAATTTGGGAAAAAATGGAACTTTGAAACGCTATAACTTTTTAAATTGGGCTATTTAGCAAAAAATAAAAGCGGATTCGAAATCAGCAAAAAATTTTGCACAAAATAAGCTGGGTCCCATAACGAATCGCCACCTTGACCTTAGGTGGTTCCCTTGTGAGGTGCTGGCGAAAAAACGTGGCTTTTTAGCCGTCTTTGATTCACGGCGATTCCGAAGTGCTGCTAAACCCGAACCCCATCTCCTCTAACCATCAATCCTGATCTATAACGACTGAATGGTATCATGTCCCCCTAGCGGCATTGACCCGTGCCGGAAATGATATCCGTATATGATCGACAGGGGATGACTGATTGGGGGCAGGATGGCGGCGGATTCGGAGTGATAGTCGTTGCTAGAGGATCATGTTTCTTACTTTCTGACTAACCTGCGAGAGTGTTTTTGATAAAAACGATTTTCCAAATATTTCTTGTTCATAAAATTTTATATTCCTACACATTTATCGCATTTTAGGGCTACAGGAATGAAAACAGCTGAAAAAGGACCAAAACGTTTCAAAAATTTCCTTTTCACATCCTTTAAACATATTTTTTATCTCTAACCCTTACAATTAGCTGTGTATTACGGCACTTCGTAGTTTTTCAACGATTTTTACACTGTAATTCAGAAGAACACCAAAACAGAATTTATTTAGGTTGCTCAAAGGTATTTTAAAAATTAAGTAAGGTGATTACAACAATCTTTATTGCCTCAAATGAAAATTAATAAAATTGTACTTTTATTAAAGGTATTTCAACGCAAAAATTTTTCTGGATTTTGGAAGGAAAAATCGCTGGTCCCTCCAACAAAATGTGATAAAAAAAGAGCATTTTATACGAATTTATTAGAATCTTGTGTCTTTCTGATCCGAACCCATCCATCCCCTCACCGGATTTCCTCAATTAGGCATTAGCCGCCCGGGTCGGTCAGTGGTTGTGCCGGGAGGATGAAGGGTAGTGGCCTCGTGTAGCCCAGTTGTGTCCAATAGAGGGCCCGCCGAGGCGGTGGCCCTCCACCCGAAAATGGACTATTGCCCCCAGGGCACAACCCCCACGCAGAAGCCGATCCTTCTTTCAGGGCGGTGTTGCGGCGGCCGAGTGTTGGCTCCTTGAATTCCTGATTTTGGGCTCTGGATTGTGTATCTATAACATTATTTTGTATTTTTACTTGTACCGATTGCTTTAACGTTACCTAGGTATCGTTTCCGAAAGTTGGTTGCATGATAACTTATTGGGCTCTCCAGAACTGCAGCTTCAGACCCACGGCACAAATCCTTTGCTTCCCCCTATCGTTCTCGCCTACGACCATACCACGTTGAAAGCACGGCATCCCGTCCGATCTGCCAAGTTAAGCAACGTTGGGCTCGGTTAGTACTTGGATCGGAGACGGCTTGGGAATCCCGAGTGTCGTAGGCTTTTTTGGGTTTTTAGGGAACGATTGTGAGGAAATCTCCATTTTGCGCCTTTTTCAATGTTTTTTTGGGTTCCATAAGTTGTCTTTTACTCTTATTTAACCATCTACGACTCGGAAAAAATCTCGATATTTCTGATGTTTGCGGTTTTGATGAGGTTTTCCGGGCTGAATTTGGATATATCAGCGCCGATTTGACGAATTTTAATAGCCAAAAAAAAAAACTCAAAAACTAGAGCAAAATTGAGGCAACCGTTTTTTAAGACATTTTTGGTTTCTGGATACGA